TGGGGCCCCCACCCAGCGGCACGAGCGCGGTGCCCGTCACTGACAGAGGAAACGGGCCTAGAGGTGCTGGGAAGTGACCTGCCCCGGGCTCCGGGCCGGCGCCCTTCCTGGCCCCGAGTCTGACCTCACCCGGGAGGCCCTGAGCCCCCCGCTTTCCAGGCAGGACTGAGCTCCACACACGGACACCGGAGATTTCCAGCAAACCTTCCGAGCTGGGGGCCGGGAGGCCTCGCAGGCAGGAGCAGACGGAAGGGTCCTTGGGGCCGTGTCGTGCCCTGGGCTCAAGGGCCGCCACGCAGCCTGTGAGCGCGTGTGGGCGGGGGCGGACTTGGGCCTGGAGCCAGTCTTGGGCTGCCACCCTGTCCGTTTCCTCTGGGAAATGGGGCCTTTCATAGCATCTGCCCCACAGACAAGTCCACCCGGCACTCGGTGGCCATGCATTTCCTCTCCTCCAGCCCCGCCCTCAGCTCCGGCCCTGCCTCTCCCGGGGAACTCGGGCATCTCCCAGCCATTGGCAGGAGAGGGCCTGGCGGGAGGGCTCCGCCCAGAGGGAAGCTACCTGAAGTGCCGCCAACCATCATGTTGGCGCTCTGAGGCCGCAAGGGCAGCGGGCTGCTCTCGTTGAGGGCCGGCGGCCGGTGCGCGTGGGACCGGGACGGCTTCATCTTGTGCTTGTTGTCCCCGGCGCCTGGTGGGGACAGTGGAGAGAAAGGTCCCTTCTCAGACCAACAGCTCCGTGGGCACTCGGGGATGGGGAGGGCTGCAGGCCGCTGGGCACAGCCAGCCCGAGAGAGACGGGGCCGCGTGCTGGCTCAGAGCGGGGGCTGGACGGCCGTCTGCTCCTGCACACAGGGGCCGGGGCTTTGGGGGACGGAGTGTTTGGAGATGGAGGTAGAGGAGGCAGCCAGGGGCCCGGCCTCGAGTGCCTGGCCTTCCAGGAGCGGCGCCATCCAGGGGGCTGAGGCGGGGCCTACAGGCGGCTGGACCTCCCGGATACTCACTGTCCTTGTTCGGGATGCCCGGCAGCCTCGTGTCCATCCGTCCCTTGTAGATATGTCCATCCAGGCCCAAGATGTCCACCTCGTGGTGCTGGGGAGGTGAGCGGGGCGTCACCACGTGGCGCACAGAGGTTTCCCTCTGGCCTGTCTCCTTGCGGCCCAGGCGCGGCCTGCGGTCCTCCCGACTCCAGCACCCACCGAGCTCAGCGCCCTCGCGGGGCCCCGGGTGGCACCGGGCAGATGGACAGGGAAAGGAGGTGGAGGTGCCACTGTCCTCAGGGCCCCTGCTGGAGGCCTCGTGCCTGGTGGTGGGTGGCCGGGATGGCATTCTTTTCCCCGCCAAGGTTCAGAACCTGAGGCTTTAACTGGGTCTAAGAAACTGCCTTGCCCTGGCTGGTGTGGCTCAGTGGATAGATGGGCCTGCGGACTGAAGGGTCCCGGGTTCGATTCCGGTCAGGGCACACACTCAGGTTGTGGGCTTGATCCCCAGTGGGGGCGGGTAGGAGGCAGCCATTTGATGATTCTCATCATTGATATTTCTCCCTCTCCCTCTCTGAAATCAATAAAAATATATTTTAAAAAAGAAAAAGAAGCTGCCTCCAGGCCAAGGGTGGGATGAAGTGCCCTCGGTGGGTCTCCAGAGGACTGGGGGCCCGGGGCCAGGCGGCCC